GCAAGGGTGGGGTGGGGCTCCCTCACAAGATGGTAGGGTAGCAGTGGAGTGCTGGGGGGTCTGTGTAGGGTCTCTGATAGTCTTTTGTTTAGGGGACCCCACCCTGACCCCCTTTGGTGTGGGACCATGGGGCAGGCTGGAAGTGAGGATTTTGTGGGAAGGGGAAGGAGGAGACCTATCAGGCACCAGGGTAGTAGTAGTGTAAGTCTCATGGTCCTGGGAGACAGGACTTCCTCCCTCAGAACTCACCAGGGTGAGCCCCAGGCTACCCCATCTCCCCTAGTTTGTTGGAGGGCTCCACTGATGGACCTTTCATTGGCTCAGCCTCAGTCTCATCCTTGGCACCCATGGTCTCAGGGGATAGGCCCTGGTCAGTGGAGTGATGGGCTTCCTCCATGGGCTCTTGTGAAATCTCCTTCACAGGAATCACTCATTTGATCTCTTTCCCAGGGTTGGGGTGTCAAGCGCAGCCAGGGAGGCCCCCTGAAAGCTGGACCACTCCTTCCCCCATATAGTGGTCTTGGGGGGGTGGGTGGGAAGAGGAGTCTTTCACATCAGAAGATTCTACTTGTTCCCAGGCCTTCCTTTTGGCTTTGCACCAGAAGGGACCTGCACCCACTCATCCATGGGGTGGTCCTCAGGTGGACAGGCTCCAGTAGAAGGTGAGGGTCAGGGGGTAGCTACAGCAGGGGCATAACTGGGGGCATGGGGGCCCTACTCCCTCTCTCCCACTGGCTGCTGCTGCCCTCCCCGGGATGCCACCAAACTTGGTTTGGGGGCAGGGCTCCCTGAGCTCACATGGGCCTGGAAGATGTGGCTGAAGTACTAGGGGGACATGAGGGGTACCAGTGGGACCTGTGGATGCCCTCTTCTCCTGGCCCATGGGGCTCTCATGATGTAAGTGCCCCAGGGTGTGGCACCTAAAGCATTGCAGATCCCCTGGTGTATAGAAAACCCTCACCAGGGCCCCCTGAAAAGGAATCGCTAGGCATCCTTCATCCTCCAGCCATGCTCTCACCCCCAGCTGGAACATAACCTGGCAATGGAAAGAGTGCATGTGGTGGAGGCTGGGGTCTTGGCACCCCAGCAAGAGGGCCACCACTGGGGAGATAATGCTCCCCAGGGTTTGGAGCAGGGGGAGAAGAACCCAATTAGAGATATAGGGAGGGATGGAGCCGAGGTGCACCCCGGTCTCCAGCTCTTCCAGGGGCTAGAGGGGGGCATACTTGTTATCCACCATGAGCCCCTCTCCACTGCCTTTTGTGCAGTGGCCTCTGAGGCAAGGTAAAAGACCCCCTTGCCATGAAAGCAGGAGGATGCCATGATCTTGGGGGCCCCCACTATCCAAGTCAGGGCCTGCACCCAGGTCTCAAAGTGCAGATTCTCTTGCTTTGATAGTTGCACTTCATTCTGTGCCTGCAGTTGAGTGCTGGAAAGGGGGCCCCACAACCCAAGCTGGAAGGACCAGCGGTGGAGGGTCTAGGTCTCATGGCTTTGGGTCACTGTGGAGGAGGCTGAAAAGGAGCCCTTCCCACTGCCCTTGGCCTTGGTCCCTGATAGTAGGAGGGGTGGCCTGGCCGGGGCAGACCCCCTGACCCCATTTGCTCCCTGCCAGTGTCCTGCCTGCCCCTGCAGCAGAGGTTGCAGACTTCTCTACCCCCAGAGAGGTTGGTTGGACTCCGCCTCTGGGGTGGGGGCTGCAGAGACATGGCATCCCTTTGGGTTCTTGGATGGGATCTGCCCCCATAGTGGGGGCTGCAGGAAGCTCCGTGGGGGCATCTGCTCTCCAGAAGGTTCCTGCCCCACCATTGTTTTACATGAGATTGGGGAAGAGAAGAAAGCCAAAATATCCAGCAGGGCTCTCTATTAGGGGCAGGTGGCTGAAGCTCACCGAGCTACAGCTTCATAGGAAAAAAACTGGGAGGGCTATGCTTGGGGAATGTGGGGGCAGGGGGAAAACACACGCAAGGGCTGGGGAGAATCAAGCTGGCTTACTCAGCCACACGACAAACACCAGGGCAGGGGAAGTGGACCACAGGATTTACCACACAAAGGCAAAAACACACAGGGAAGGCTGCTGAGGCAGATGTAAGAGATGGCTGGAGCAGTGGATGGGCTTTTTTTGTTGAAGATCAGTCCAGGAGCCCCTCAGGCCTCCAACCAGGAGCTCAGCAGCAGGCAGGAAAACAAAGCAGGATCAGATGCAGTGAGGCAGCTGTGGGGGAGGGCAGGAGCAATCAGTCAGTTAGGGACTACTCCAGTGCAGGTGTGGCATTGAGTGGTGCAGGGTAGTGCAGCAGGGAATCTCTCTCTCCCAAGAAGGGGCAACAACAAGACAGACAATAGCAGTAGCGGCAACAGTTATAGTATCCATCCAGTTGAGGCACTCAGGGTGTTCTTCAGGTGAAAGTGGAGGTGAAGGTAGGAGCTTGCCTGCCAAGGCAGCTGGGGCAGGCAAGGCACCTTTAGGCTCCAGCAGTGGTGGCAGGGGAGGGGTCCACAGGCAGTGCAGGCTCCCTCCCCAGGCTGTCTGTCCTCTGACCTTGGCGGTGGGCTGGGCAGCAGGCTGGAATAGGGGTGCAGTGTGGTATGCTGGGCCCCTCCCAGAGGGGAGGCAATGGAGTGCAGCAGAGGATTCCCCTGTGGTGGGGGCAACAAGAGCAGTAGTAGCTTAAGGCAGGAAGGGGTGTGGACAACTTACCCCCAAAAACTCTGAGAACAAGCCAGCATTTAGTGGTAGCTAGAGGCAGGAAGGGGCCTGGCCATTTTTTCCCCAGAATCTCCTGGGACTGGGCTTGTAGCAAGCAGCAGCCTAGGACAGGAAGGGGTATGGCTAATTTCCTCCTAGAGGCTGTTCCCTCAGAAGCTTCTGAGGACAAGTAGCCTTGAGCTGCTCACCAGGGTAGCTTTTTATACTTCTGAGGCTAGCATAGGTGATGGCTCAAGCCTTTAGCTCCCCCTGGCTGAAGATTCAGGAGGAGCTGGGCAGTTTCAGTTTGCCCCAAACCAAAGTTCAGGCACATTTGGTCAGGCACAAATCTCTGGTAAAAAACTGTGCCACTGTTACTTGAGCTGCTGCAAACACACATGCCTGCAGGTGTGGACATGTCCCAGAAGTAGTAAATAGCAGTAGTTTTTTTGAGTAGCACATTGGCAGAAATTTGCTTACATACATGCCACTTATTGGGGAATTATGAATAGTAAATAAGCTAGTAAAAATTGAAGTCCATTCATAAATTATTTATCAATCAAAATAATGGGGCTAAATTTGCCAAATAAGTTAATTTCAAGGACCAATTTGATTGGCTGTATTATAAATTCCTAGCAGCTTCTAAAAACACCTTATTTGAGATCTGTTGGTAGCTCAGATATCTAGGATGAAAAATTACACAAAACTCAAGCAAAATGGAACCAACTGTAGGATTTGTAGCACCTGGTTAGAATGTCTGCCACTGTTACCTTGCAGATCTGCTTGCTGAAAACCTAGAAAAGACATGCGGTCAGTTTGTAAATGAGTGAGCCTGATAGAACTACTCACCTGATTTTAGTATGTCCTTAGCAGCTTGTTAATGAGAGATTTATTTGGATACTTAAACAGGCACAAAGCATCCATTTTGGAAAATAATGGGTTTACATGTCAGATGTTCCTAGTAGCCTGCTGAGTGTGAATATTTAGAACATATTGGTGAGGTATCTTTTTGCTTTGCTGGTCATCTTTAATGTTATCTAGGACCAGAGTAAAGTGATTGTGTTTGTAATATGCCTGTTTATTACATAATGTGTTATTAACTTGGGGTTGATAAATTACTGAAACAAGTGAACCTGCATTATTGTTAGTGCCAGGGAGTAACTGGTGTAGTTCCTCATGCTATAGGCTAATTGTTAATGTCAGGCTAATGACACAGAAACACATTTTCAATCAAAGATGCTTTTTATGGATTTGATATACTGGAAACTGATGTTATAGATCTCACTTTCATAATAACAGCCAAATGAGTATTGAAATGAATAGGGCCTCACGAGGGTACAATTCTATATGCATGCATGCTGTTGCAGAATTAGTGCTGTGAGTATTGAGGAAAACACCTGAAAGGAAGTAGGGGTGTGTGAAACTTCAGGTGCTGACTTGATTCAGAAGAGATTTGGCTTAACTTGGTAGCCAAATCTCTGGATCCAAATCAAATCAGGAAACCAATAAAAAGGTCTGATTCAATTTGGAGAGATTTGGGCAGTCCTTACTCGCTGCTGCAGAAAGCTGAACGTGGACTCTGTGCTGGTAAGTAGGGGTCAGGGGAGGGGACCATGGGGGCACCCCTGTCTGGCACCACCTCCGGGCTCTTAAAAGCCCCCTTCACCAGCTGCTGCCAGGTAGGGGTGCAATCCCTGCTGCCCCTGACTGCTCTGCACTGTGTGGGGGGGCTCTGCCACAAGCCCCCCAATGCCCACCCCCTCTCCCAGCCCCTGTCACGGCTGCCCCACTTGGTCCCAGCTCCTGGGTTTTTTTTTTTGTTTTTTTTAAGAGCCCCAACCTCACCAGCTGCTGCAGTGGCTGTTGGGGCTTCTGGAGACATGTGGCAGAGTCCTCCATGTAGTATGGGGCAGTGGGGGCAGCAGACATTGCCTGCTTGCCTGGCAGGAGCTGGTGAGTGGGGGCTTTTTTTTTTTTTTTTTTTTTTTAAGAGTTGGGGCTAGGAGAGTGGGCAGGGGATGGGGGCTTGTCACAGAGTCTCCCATGCAGCGTGATGTAGCAGTGAAGTAGATCCTGTGGAACATTATAAGTAGGCATGTGCACATTCGTACACATGCATGTGCACACATGAATGGATGGGCAGATAAAATCTACTCCTGTTGCTTAGGCTCCAGTTCTATAATTACATATGCATGGACATGTACGTGCAGCTATGTGAACATCCATTGCATTTTTATCTGTCTGCCTATAGGCATAACTGAGAGCAGATTTGCACTTTTAAGTCCATGTCTCAGTCTTTTGCAGTAGGATCATTCCTTACACTGGTTGTGTTATAAAGAACAGCTGTGGATCAGGGGGAAATACACACAGTGGTGCAAGTTGAAACTTACATTTTAAAGGTATGCTTCCAGGTTATGCAGGCCCTTTTAAATGTAAATTTTTTGTAGTTCTGATGGAGGGCTTCTGCTATGAATTGTATAAAGTAAAAACCCTGTATAAGTGAAACATGCCAGTAGTCTAGATTTTCATGGAATTTTTCAAGTTTGGAACAATTACTAGTATATTTTAAACTTGTTTTTAGATGTACTATATAGCTATAATTTTCCCAACCCTCTAAGCACTGTTCTGTGAAACCAAGGAACTAATGGCATGTCTACACAGGGCACTTAACCAGGCCCAGCATGGCTATACTTAAGCACAGAGTGCCACTCTGCATGGCTGTGTTCTGAATTGGAACAGTTTGTCAGTGGTTCTCAACCTTTTTAGACTCAAGGCACCACTGGAAAATGTCAGCTTAGCTTTCACTGGGTTTTTAACTATGGAAAAATAATAGAGCAATTCTTCGGTTACGAAGAACTCAGAGTACAACAGGTCAGAATGTTTTTTGGCACTGTGGATTCTTGTTTGAAATCTCTTGGTTTATCTTGTGAATCATGTGTAGGTGTTTGCACACTTAGTGCTAATATTTACTGGCAAATGTGGTGTATTAAAAAGGATCTTGTGTCACCCCAGGCTGTCATGGTACCCTGGTTGAGAATCGCTGATTTAGCTGCATAAGTACAGTGCTAGAGCAGGCTATTTGTACTGCTTAATGACATGACCAATTTGCCTGCTGCTATGCCAGTTAGCCTGCCTTTGGTGCCATATAAACCTGGCTACGCTGCTTCTAATTTAGGATGCAGTCCATGGAGAACAGCTTGGCGTGCATAATGACTACCCAGCCTGGTGGGTTAAGTTTACTGCTTAGATATAGTTTAATGGACCTGGCTACATAACCAGATATATATGAGAGAGTATTCATAGATAGTATAAAAAACAATTAAACCGTTCCTTTTTTTTTCCATATTAACTTAAGTGATATCTGCATAATATAGGACAGTATGATATAAATATTTACTGGCATTCATTTCCTGTGGTATCCACAACTATGACATTGGTAAAAGAGCATCATTTCTTTCTGCTACTCTATAAATAATAGAGGTAAGTGGTTCATTTATAATGAGCAACACATTTGATGCCACCTATTTTTTCTATTAATAAATTGTCTGGGAGTAGCTCTTGGTTTTACCAGATTAATTCAGCCTGATTTACAGAATCAGCTCAAATGATTTCTACAAATCTTGTCTGCAGATTTTTTGTAACAATCTGTTCACAAACGTCAGACGGTGTTGGTTAATTTAGCTTGGATATAAATTGCATGATTCATTTTTTTTTCCATGATTGGATGAGCATAAGTTTTAGACCCAAGTTTTCACTTATGAATACCTAGAATTATGAGGGCAAATGTTCTTTTTATATGAGTGTTCCCCAATGGTTGCTTAAAATTTACTGTTTCTGCAAACCTTCCTGCAAAAATAATTTGTTTGAACATTTTGTGGGCAGCAAGCACAAAACAGGTTGCCAGCATGAGTAGAATAAATTGTATTAAATCCAAACATGTTCACATACAACTTTTTATAATATTTATTCTCCCCAGTAAAGGATGTCAACTAGGCCCAATGAGAAACATAAAGTATCTATTCAACTCCTACTTACTTCAGCATCTTCCAAAATTGGGCCTTAACTATAGTTCAATGACTGTGAACATTCACTAAAATATTAACTGTCTGTAATCTGAAGTGTCTTGCCAAAAAGTTGGGTTAATATTCTGTAATACTCCACTGTGAGACTTTAGTGGTGTTTACTCCAAGGAGCAGGAAAAGTATAAACCCCCCCCCCCCATTAAAATGTTCTTTTGTGGTGCTGTCATTTAGCTAAAATATGACGCATCTGATTTCAACTAGATATTTTCTACCAGTTGAAATCAGGTATAATTAACTTTGTCTTTTGACAAGTCCTTCTGAGGCATACATTAATTCAATATGGGATAATGCATAGAGACAACTAGATCACCAGGGTAGAAATCAATTGAGGGGTTCTGATGATACCATAAACCACAAGAACAGTGTGTGCAGTTAGTAATCACATCAAAATACTGTGATTGCTTTGGAACTTAGTGATCCTTCAACAGTCATTCATATGAAGCACAGAAGAAAAGGGTGGCATTTCATACAAAGGCAAGACCATTTTTTCCTCTGGATCCTTTGATATTGGACACTTTTTCACTGTGCACTGCAAGAAAATGCCATATTGATAGTAGGGGTAGGGATTCAGTAAGCATATTCTGGGGTCATACAGGATTAATGAAGACTTTATTGTAATTACTTGTGTGTCTTTTAGAAAAGAATTTGGGTTGGATCTTTCATAGCTATCTATAGAGCTATGCTGATTTAACATTATTTTGTGACTAAGCCCTAGATATTCTCTTTGATAGGTTTAAACAAATCCCTAAAAAATTTAGCATTTTTCAATAACTCTGTAAATACATTGAAATAAAGTATATGAATAGTAATAGATTGTATTTAGCCTAGCAGCCTTTAGTCAGAAACTAGCTGATTTCCTTATGTACACAGACAACCCCCACATCTGATCCCAAACATGCTGTCGTCCCATTAACAAGGTTATTTTGGAAAAATGTATCGTATGGATATGTGTGCTTTCTAAAATATCCATTTTATGAGCACAGTAATTCTCTGGGTTACGTGATGCACATTCTTCTATGTTGCTCTTGAGTATATATTTTCATCTTAGAGTTATTGGGAAGATGAGGAGAGAGTAACAAGGAATGTTTTAATTCTTAATTTACAATGTTCTGCCTGAGAGGTTCCATGCTGAAAGATCAATTTATGTTCCTTTTAGTCATGCTGTGATGCCATTAAAAATATCAGACCTGAAGTGTTTTCTGCAGGCAAAGAGGGTATTGCTCAAATTCTCTTTACTGTTGCTTAAAAGACCTTTCAAAAGTGTGAGAAGTCTCCAAGTCATTATGTTTGTGGGTTTTACAAAGGATAATAGAACATCGCTTTGCACCTATCTACAGTCAACTGTACTTATTTGACTTGTGCAATACTGGAATCTTGCTTTGATCTTTTTAGATCTGATAGTGGCATAGTCTGATACTAAGAAATGAGCATAGTCTGATACTAAGAAATGAGCAATAGCATGTCGCAGAAAGCCACCTTGGTTTCTCCCCAAAAATCTCTGCC